TTAGCAAAAATTGTTGAGTCTGTGTGAAAAAAGGAGTTACAAAATTAGATAACAATGGTTCCCTTCTCTCCCGTATTCTCACACCACCCACCACTCAATCAATTTTATGAGGTCTTGTCAGAGATACCATTTTAAAGAGCTCATATCCAATCACTGATTTCTTGACTGAAAACCCTGACCACCTCCCACATCCACACCGGCATGCCATGAGTGCCCTTCTCAGTCTGACCCTCACTTACCTTTTCTCCTTGCCATTTCTTCTAGAGATCATGGCACTTTCCCATTTTCATTCATCACCTTACCATTTCCGTCTTCCATTTTCTCCTTTTCTGCCTGGAAAAAAAATGTTTATACATCCTTTCATTTCAACTTATCATCTCAGTAAAACCCTCCTTAACCTCCCAAAATAATAATATAAATTAACACAATCCCTCTTCTGGTTTATGTCACTAGCATAAGCCTTGTTTATTGTATTATACAATGGTTAATTATTCATGCAGCTGTCATTCCACTGGACTGTAAGAAACTTGAGGCTCACTGACTTTAGCCATCTTTCTATTACCATCTTCTACCCAAGTGGCCAGCACTCAGGTGTCCTGTGAAATCCAGGATTGTCTGATGTATGCATTCACGTCATCAGTACCCATGAGTAGCTCACCTGACCAAAGAGAGGAGCTGGAATTCTCTAACCTCACTGAAAAGAGGAAGCAATGAAGGTTTTTCCTTATTGCTGTCTGGTCAGTTCGACTATATACGTTTCACTTGTATTACAGTCCTCTTTCAATGAACGTAGTGTTCACCTTTCTCTCATCAATTTAGTTTCGAATACCAAATTCTTCCCTTTATTCATGAAAAGTGATGTAAATTTGAGTAATGGTTATTCACAAAGATTGACCCATCTGTTTAGTCACTCAAATATATTTTGTATCCTCTATATAGAACAAATGAAGTTGTTCTTTTTATCCATGGGTTTTATCTGGGAGCTAGAGAACAAGATTCTTTATATCAAACTCACAAGGACAGTACAAAATGTCTCTGAAAATTCAAAATCTTATGACAATTTTGACATCAGCTAGATCGAACTCTCATGAGTCCCATAAGAATCAGCCCCACAGCACTCACTAAATAATGCTTTCCTCTAGCAGCCTGGAGCCAAAGCCAGACTAATGGGTTTCAGGAAAGAGAGTAGTTTCATAGGATGGAAAAATATGATGACCTGCTGGTGAATGCTACCTTCCACTGTAGCCACCAGCACCACTCACCCTCCCCATTCATGCAGTGTCACACGTCCTCACAACGGCCAGTCTGAGGAAGGCTGCTGTCAGAGGCACACACAGATGTATGTTACCCTTACAGCAGTGCTTCAGCTTTACTTATACAGTACAGAAACCAGGTTAAATGGGGTCAGTCTAGTTCCAAAGTTTTCCTGACTTACAGAAACCTTAGCTTCCAGGAACCCATGTGGAAAAGACATCAGGTTAAAACATATGTCAGAGTTTGATGGGAAGCCCATTGGGCTGGAAGTCATTGGACCTGAATTCTTGTGCTGGTTCTGCCAAGGCGATCATAAGCAAATCTCTTTACATTTCTAGATCTCAGTTCACTCATCTACCACAGGATATAACTGTCAGTCTGTATTTTTTGTATTGGGGTTCACAAACTTCTCAAGGTACATGGACACACGCTAGGTGCTATGCCAAGGTGAAGAATAAACAGGGATCATTGTACCCAATGGTAACTTTTTAAAACAGTACTTTTATTAGAAAAACTAAAGTAAAGATTTAATCTGGAGCCAATTTAAAGTTGCAGGACTTTTTAAAGATAAAAAATTAGTATATTTCAAAGACATGATGCTCATTCTGGATGGAACTTTTCTCTGTGCCTCCAGACATCTGGAGCATAGGCTCTTTTTCCTCAGTGTTAGAAGCTCTTCAGTGAAAATGATGGCAAGCTACTGATAAACATTCTCCAAAGTCCCTTCTGTATCTTCTCATCCTATGATTCTTTGTATTAAATAGCAAACAGCCAAGTTTGCCCATTTGATTTAAACCCTAGTTATAACTCATTATTGAAACATAATGCTTAGCATGGAGAGAAGTTAAAACTCCAGATTAAGGTATCACAATTCTGAGTCAGATGCCCTTTCTCTGCAGTGGGGGAAGGAGAAAGTACAGGTATTCTGAGAGGAGACGCTGGCACGTGTGCATTGATTCTCCACAGGTATGAGGTGAAAGCATGAGTGAGAAGAAAATGTGCAGAGCTAGCCTGAAACTGTGGCTGCGGCTGAGTGGATCTGTCCTAACAAGGAGGAGCCCAGGGNTTTTAGCTGGGCCATCCTGCCACCTATTGGCAGCTCAGCAGCAGCTCAGCTCAGGCCCATGTGGAAATCGAACCAACGACCCTGTTGCTCAGATCTCACACTCTTGAGCAAGCTCTTAACCAACTGAGCCACTTGGCCGGCCTGATATATATTTATATTTATACACACACATATTTTACATAAAGTTCACCTTCCACCCTATAGGTATTTTAAATATATTTAAATTAATTTAAATGTAATTTAATTAAAATGTAAACCTTTTTCCTGAAATCATCCCAGTTTAGGAAACAGCCAAGGTTAGATGACAATTAAAATGGCAGTCAGAATATGACCACTGTTTCCCCAGCTCACTTGTTGGAGGTGAGCAAGCAGGGAGAGGAGGAAGTCACAGGGACTCTCAAGTGTGCAGGTAAGAATCCTACTGATGTTGGGATACTGAGCTCTGAGATTTCAAATCCCTAACACTTCTCTAAGTCACTGAGTCCTGGAGGGATCATTTTCTCCTTGATGATATCCTCCAAGCAGTTCTGTTATTGCTGCTGTCACTACCATTCTTTCTCCCAGCAGCCATGCTTGTCCTGTGGCTGGCTCACTTTTTAACTAATTCTGATGAATTTTTCTTTTCAGCACACAAGCATCCATCCCCAAGTGTAAAGTATCTGTTTGACAATTAAAGAACAGGTTGCTATTCCCATTTTTATGGTCTCCTCCCTGATGAAAGGTGGGACACATTCACCCAAAGCTGTGTTTGGAAATATTTATCAGCGATATTCTCAAAAACATTTATCCCAAATAACCATCAAACAATGCCCCAAGTTTTAGGACAATTTGTCACCTATCTCTAGCTAAGTCTCCTGACTATGGGTGATATTTTTGTCAGAAACCAACAGTCAACATTTGTCTCTCTTTATTGTTTAAAGGCGCTTATCCCAGTGGCCTGGGGGCCTGTTAATCCAAAAGTACTCGCCACTATTTTTTAATGTAAACTTTGTTAAGTATAACATATATACAGAAACGTAGACACAGCACAAGTTTCCAGTTCAGAGAATCTCTTCACTGTATTAGTTAGTTAGCTAGTTGGTTAGTTTGTTTTCCCCCAAAGTTTTGGAGACTCCTTTGCAAAAAGGAGTCCTGTTAACAGTCCCTGATATCCTAACATCTTTAAAAATATTCTTCCCATTCCTCTACTGCCATCCACACTTACTCTCACAAGCTTTTGCTACTTAAATAATGAATGGATTAGAGGGTAATCTGGGTCATGAATAAGCTCTGAAGGTTTGATATATAGTTTGTACCCTCGCATGTACTGATTTTGATTAAGTAGCACTTCTTATTTACACAAAAGCATCTCAGTGACAGAATGCATATTGACACTGTACACAACACTCTGAAGAAGAGATAATTGCATGGTTCACTGGAGTCATATTTACAAGGGACTCAAGTCAACTCCAGAAATAGGGAGTGGAGGTGGCAGGTAGGTCTCGCATCAGACCAAAAAGTCCTTTCACGTCTCTATCCATATACTGTGAATATTCACCACAGGCTATGCTCCCTCTCACCACTGCCTTCACAAATCAAGATGTAAAGATACTGGACTTATAGCTGGATGTAAGTTTCCAGACAACAAAATTTTTCCTGCCTTCTCAAGCATATCCAAAATGTGTCCTTATTTAAACACCATAAAAAAAATAGAAATTATTCCAAAAGGTGGCATTCCAATGTTCTTAAGAAGACAATTGTGCCCGTGTTTAATTCACAGGCAAGTCAATGAACAAAAGAAAAAGCATTATTCTTTTCTTAGAACTATTCTTTCATCCTGCAAAACACAACCAATCATTTTCCCTTTTTTAATCTTCCAATTTTGTATTTAATTAAAATTTCAGCTTTTGTTTGCTAAAACTATCCATAAATTTGTTCCATCCTAGCTGTAATCCCACGACTGTCCATCTATCTTCAGACAAAGCTATAATTCCTATTTTTAAAATGCTATGGAAACTCCCTTTTGTCCCATTCATAACTGAACAATATTTCATTCTTCATTTTTAAAAATCTTTCTCTAACCAGTATAGTCCCATAATTAAGAGGAGCAAAGGATAACAGGAAAGGATGAGACAGGCTTTATTTAGATTGCTAGGTATTTTCTAGGATGCTTTTCCCTGTGTCATTTTCTTTCTTTAAATGTTATCATTAATTTTGTTGTTGTTGTTCCCATTAAGGTAACCAGACTTTTCTAAAGAATCATGGAAGCTGATTCTTCACATAAGCACTTCCCCTCCACACCACCACACCACCGCTACCACAGTTGTCTTGCAGAGAATGGGTGTGCCGGGCTTTCTTAACACATTCACTGCTGCTGGAGGGTCAGAAAGTATAGGTGATATGAGCATCTGGAGCTTTAAATGACTGCCTTCCCCCAACACAAATATAAATATTCTGAAATCATTTAGGCATCTTTAACATGTTCATTTTGCTACTCTTCGATGGAGTTAAATGCAGCCTCTTCCCTTACAGATTTTATTGTGTCTATAAATTTTCATGAAAAAAAGAACTATCTCCTGGCACAAGTAATCCTATTGGGTTGTCGGAAAAGTCAAGACACATTTTTGCAATGAAAAACATAGAAAAAATACATCATGACTTTTCCG